TGTACCCACGACCCACGACCATTAGTCAAACTCAATATAAACTCACAGAGGATGGTTTTTGTACTCCGTTATGCTGGTAGGCAGAGGTTTGTCGAGAAGTTGATCTAGTGGAAATACAAATGGGAAAAGTGTGGACATTAAATTTCTCACATGAGACGGAGTTTATCCCAGCTCCTATATAAATGAAGCGACCACCATCCTTCTATAAGGACACTGGCACTGTTGTAAACCCATTACTGGCTACCCTCTAACTCTTTGACCCTAAGCATGACCAGCCTTTAATTCCTCCTGACAATATCATTTAGGGTTAGGGTTGGGGTTAATCACCATCTGAAAAAAAAAATCTTGCTTGTTAAACAAATTCAGTTCACTTGTACCAAATTTAAAAAATGTGAGTGGAGAGGACTGTAAGTGTGAATTCTCTTGTCCAAGAATAAAACACAGTGACCCTAACCAGGAAGTGAACCTGGACCTATTGGACAACAGTTCAATGCAGGCCACTTGTCCACTTAAAAACAAAAAAAATTGTCTAAAAGCTGACTTATCAACAATTAAATTTAAGGTGAAGTAAGCCAAGGGAAAGATGAGGTGCATTTGACTACATTCTAATTCAAATACAACTTGGAAAAGCAGGGAAAGTAATTGAACGGCTGTTAATAGACTTGATTGCCTACTACCTCTACTCCTTATAGAGTTAATAAAACAACATACCTTCAAGATGAGAATCTTCCATTTTATCCATTTTCTGGCATAAAAGGAAAAGCAGTTTAATAGTCCAATGATTCAAAATGTAATGCTTCAGAACAATGATGTTGGATGATACAAAACTATCAGTGACAGTTCAAACTATTCCATTCACACAAGATTAAAACACATTCCAGAATATATGTTACTACACTGCGGCTTGAACAATTAATACCTTTTATTCGACTTACTGAACCTTAAACTACAAATGAGGCCGGTTTGCCAACTCAAAGATTGCAAAATACGATAGGAAAATAATAAAAACTGTCTTACAATCTAGGTAGAAAACTCGTGGCCTCGTGGCCGCAGTGAAGAGACCTGCAGAGACCACGAATGGGCACAATTAACACAGGAAACCAGGGGAAATAACACAGGAACCCCAAGGCGGTAACAATGTATTGCATTTTAATTAACAGTCACAGCTTTTACAGTACCTTGTTTTTTGATTTGTATGGGAGAAGAGTATCTTCCCACCAATCAGAATCAATGCGAAGCTTCCTGGTCTTTGACATGAAGGAAGATGCATACCTATTAGTGACGTCTTTGACAGCATTGTCTTAAAGGAGAGAAAAAGAAACATCAACATCTTTAATTCACTTTCAGATGAATTTTTCAAGCTAGAAAAGGGGAGGAGATAAAATAAAATCTCACAGTCATCCTGTGAGATTTTATTTTGCTAAGAGCTCACCATTATCAAATGACACAACATAAACCATAGGTTGGGCTGCCTGCTGCTCACACATTTCAGGATGATTGACACTTGAAGATTCAAGATGAACGCCTAGGGAGAAAAATGATAAAAAAAAAAAAAATTAAACTTAGCACTACAATGCAGTGTGTGTCAAGTGATTACCACTTCAGAGAGTTGGGAGACAATTTTACTGTTCAAGAATTATACATACAAATCCATTTCTTGTCAGAAGGCAGAAACACCTCAGTCCACCAGTTGACACCTGTTGGATAAACATGCTGTTTATTTTAAGTAAAAACAACTGTCAAATGCAATGGGCCTTTGATATAGAAAGATAGCAAAAGAAGGTAGGAAAGAGAGGGAAAAAGAAGCAAAAATGATAGAAAAGTGTCGCCAAAAGAAGCTGTTGAAGAGTAATACATGCATGTCCATGTCCTTTATAGTCAACAGGGCCCAATAAACCTGAGAGTATTATTAAGTACTTCAATTATAATATTCTAATACCTGAAAAGTCTTTTACTTACAGCTGTTCTAGAATACATTAGTTGTATCTCTCTGGTTGATTCAGTGCATTTTATTTTGCTTTTTCAAAGTTATGGCCATAACCAAACAAGTGAACACATGCTTCAAAGTGATACATACCCTCATCATCAGAATCATCAGAACTGATAATCTTTAAAGCCTTCTTCTTTTTATCTGATGAGCCAGCAGCCAATTTTCTTTTAACTAATGGTTTGCTAGAAACTTCAAAATCACTATCATCATCCAAAAGATCAACAAAAGACACACTACTGTTCTCTGTTGGTGTGTCATTACAACTATCTGAAGAGGACACTTTTTTCCTGACCAAAGGAGTCTTGTTTTTCTTTGTGGAGGATTTTTCCATGCAGTTTCTGTCTTCCTCCTCCTCCTCTTCACTATCACTAGAAGGAACATTCCATTCTTTGTCGCCACTGCTTTCTATCTCATGGTCACTTAGGGAGTAATCTATCTTGGCTCTCTTGCGTAGAGGTCTCTTCTTCACAAGTTTTTTCACAGGCTTATCACTGATGTTACCCTTGCCCTTTTTCATATTCTTATGGACTTTACTAGTTTCATCAGAAGTCTTAGGAGTTCTCTTTCCACCATAACTTGATTCACCTCCCTCCTTTTTACAACTTTTAGCTACCTTCTCCTTTTTTAATTTCTCACTGCTGATCTCACTTCTGTTTTCAGAAATGAGTGCCAGTGATTTAGATAAAGTTGTCTTGGATTTATTTTCTGATTTGGTATTCCTTGAATTCATAGCAGCTTCCTCCTGTTTATTTGGCACTGATAATTTCTTTAAAATGGCTTTCGAAGAATTATGAGGAGAGACTTTGTTCCCTTTGTGAGTATTTTTCTTTGAAGTCTGCAAAAATAAAAGTATCATAATCATTAAAATACGTGGTAATTAAAATTAGCTCTGTCTATGATTAATCACACTTTACCAGTTATTGATGAAAGATTACCAATCTGTTCATGTACACAATTCAGTACTTACTTTTGAACTTGTTTTAACATCTGTGTCACCTTTAGCTGACATGGGCTGACATAAACAAAGTAAAGACAACAATTTTAAATCAGTATCAAGTCTCTTCAGGACATCATCATTCTTTAAGTTTGTGTAAAGGCTGATAGTCTTGAAAGAAACTGTTTGGGGCTGCGTCTGTGGGAGTAACGAGATAATTTGGATATATCAACAAAGTTGAAATGGGAAATTGGCCGCCGTAACGATTACAAAAGTTGACATTTCGAGCCTTAGCCCTTCGTCCTATTCGCTCCGACGAAGGGCTAACGCTCGAAACGTCAGCTTTTGTAATCGTTACGGTGGCCAATTTACCATTTCAACTTTAAGTTTGTGGTCTGGAGGATGCATAACCCACCCTCCATACTCCCACTAGTTGGGAAAAATAGGAGATCTGCTTGTCTGATAAATATTGAAAATTTTTACCTGAAGAGAATACACAAGCCTTGTAAGAAATCCAAGTGCTCTGAGGATTGTCGCAAACACCTAAAAATTTATTGTTAGAAAATGTTAGGACATTTGAGCCTTTAGCAGTTACACATCCAATTTTGAGTAAGGCATTTCACCAGCTGAGTATACATCACCTTTATATCTCTCTATAACAAACTACATTTTTAATGGATTGTTTTCATTGCAAGGAAAACTATTGAATGAAGAAAGGTAATAACTTATTGTGTTGTCAATTTGACAGATCAAGTTTAATTCCTTTATGCTCATGTCTAGTTTACTGTTTGCAGAAGTTACTTGCTTTCTTCTCCAGTGTATCATAAACAAACCTCGGATAAGTTTTGAAATCTGGCAATCTGTTTGTCTGCCTAAATTAACAAAAGAAAAGGTGTAGGTTAAACAATCTCTAGACAATTGGGTTTATAGGAATGAAGAAAATGGAAGGTAAAGTGGAAAGGAGATATGAGAAGGGGATAAGAACCAAAGGTAGGGACAGGGAACAGTGACAGGGATGTGTAACAGAAACAGAGACTGAGAAAAGGGAATAGAAAACGGTGAAATGGGACAAGCCAAGGCAACAGGAAATAGGAACTAGAGGAAGGGAAGTAAGAATGAGATTGGAGACAGAGTGTAAAGGCAGCAAATGGGAATAAATTTCTTGAGGTTGGCTACAATGAACAAAGGTTAGGGATAGAGGATAATCCCAAGAAGCAGAGTTATGGAATGGGAACAAGGAATACTGGTCATGATAATAGGAAATGGAGAAAAGGGAAAATGCTATGGAATTGGAAAGGAGACCTGGGATTTGGGGTAGGGAGTAGAAGTAAGAATGGGTATGGAGGTTAGGTACAGGGCGTGAAGGGTGAGGTGAGAGGAGAGGGTCAAGGGATGAACACAGGGGAACTGGGAATAGGTAGTGGGAAAAGGTGTGAGTATCAGGGAAATGGAAGGGTGACGGGTAATGATGAAAGAGGACAGAAACCAAGAGCAAAGGATATTGATTAAGTCATGATAGCAGATATTCAAGTACATGCTACATGTTACGTGATTACTCAACTTGGTTAGAATTATTTCATTTATAATTAGATACTTAGTCTGATTAAACAGCTTTAAAGCATTACCTCTTTGTTTCCAGTTCTTACATCATCAGTGCTGGAGAACTCACTTTGAAACCTGTATTTGAAATTTAAAGACAACTGAAGCTGTAAGGGGGCTATAAACATGTAATTGCAAGTGCAATGTTTATGCATCAGCATACAATTTAAGGCTTAGGGCTGTGTTGTACATTGACTCATCAGCGTAATTTATTATCACCTTATTCTAAAAAAGAGAAGTCTCACCATTTCAAGAAGTTAGTGAGTTGCACCACATCCCACTTCCTCTTGTTCAGAGATATAAAGTCACTTGCTACATGAGATAGCAGAACAGCCTGGAAAATGAACAGTTGAAATCATGAGTACATCTTATTTAACTGATTTTGACTTTTAATGACTCAAATCTTCAAAAACAGGAGGGTTTCAAGAATTATGAAGATTTTCTCTCTGGTTGGAGCACTGTCCTTTCCATCAAACAAAAACTTTTCTTCCAGATTGAGAATCACAGCACAAGGGGCTTTTAAATGCATTTTTCTTTACCTGTAGCAGTGGTTCATTACAAATGTTGTTTCTAAAAAATCCATTTGCAATAAGGGTCAAAATGTGAACCTGAGGAGAACACAAAAGAGAAAAACAAATGGTGTAATGACACTACAACTATTACATTTAATTACATGGCAACACCCATGGTCAATATGAAGCTTAGGATTGCCCGCTTTGATCCCGCACATGTAAAACAAAAACTTTGTGGGGCAAACTGAGACAGTTCCTGATTTCTTAATAATTTTGGCAATAGAGGTGCACAAAGCAGTGTCGAAGACAGTCAAATCAAAGAAAACATAATACATTGTTGTGGGTTTGTTATCCCACAAAAACAATTGGTTTTCTATCCAAGTTATTTTTGATTCTCATTAAAGCTGCATCTTTTTACAAATGTGTTATTGACCAAGCATGAGGTCAAGGTGGCTAGATGTTGATTCTTTTTTTTTTCTGGGGGGGGGGGGGGTGTTTTATAAAATGCAAAAATAAAGGAGGCTGATGGCCAGCTGTCTTGATGGAACAAGCTTGGTCAATAAAGGATTTATTATATCAAACACGATAGACACACACAATGTTATATCATGGTATACCTGTCCAATACCTTATGAGCACTGGTGTAAACATCTTTCCTAAATCTGTTAATAGCTCTTTTAATATATTTCACAACATCTTCATGACTCCTAGTAAAACAATAACAACAAAAAAAACAAAGAAAAGCAGAGTTTCATTGCTTTTCAACAATATGCCTAAAAGTGACAGAAAAAAAATTTTTTTTCCTGCCAAATTCAAGGAATCATTGATCAGCTGCCTCACTAACTAAATGACTGACTGATAAACTAATTCACTAACTGACTGACTAACTGATTGACTTACCTGTACTGAATAACCGATTATCTGACTAACAGACTGACTGAATGATTGACTTACTGATCGTTAAAGACTGAGTAATGAATTCACTGACTAACTGACTGACTGACTGACTACCTGACTAACTGACTGACTGACCAACTAACTGACCAACTGACTAATTGACTGACT